TCCAGGGTATTCTCTGAATACCTTGAAGGCCCTGACGGTTCGCCACTGGGTGCTTCTGACGCAATGGTTTGTGTAACGCACATGGACCCCAGGCTGTTCACCCCCAAGGGCTCCATGCTATACCACACCGCATCCCAGGCTTCACCGACTTCCTTGGATGGTGGTAGAAAGCCTTTGCTGATTCGGGCAGTGTTGATAGGTAGGCCTCGAACGAAGCTACCGGGCAAAGGGCATTGCCCGGCTCCTCAAATATTGCCCCTCCTGTTCTGGTGCTCCCTGTCGTTGTGGCATTTATGATTTTTCGTTTCCTCGTTAAATGCCATCGTCACATATTTGGTGCCTTAAGGATAAAAAAACAAAAAACGAATGTTAGGCAAGTTTGACCTTATGAAGCAACAACAAAGATAATAACAATGATGAAATAATAATAATAATAATAATAATAAGAACAATATAATAAGAACAACAACAATAATAATAATAATAATAATAATAATAATAGCCTGATAATAATAAAAGCTTGTAGGCTTAATGATAACAACTTTTTCGTGGCCCAGCCCTTCTGAGGGACTTGATGAGTCCGGAGAACGCGTGTTTGATCAACTCACCTGCAGAATCTCGTTTAACAACGAAAGATTGTGGAGTGAGTTTCCTCAGGCCCTCCTTTCCCCTTCTTCCGAAATGCAGTTGGGTATCGAACCACACCTGTAATGTAATGTAGGAAATGTCTAATGTAAAAACAATTTCCTTGGGGATCAATAAAGTAGCTATTATTATTGGGCTATTATTATTATTATTATTACCTTGTTGAGGAGGCCCCGTGGTGTGTTTGGGTCCATGGCCCGGGACTTCCTCAGGATTTCGAGGTCCTCGTTGGTGATAGCGGGATGGTGATCAGTTTCGTCCTGCCCAGCCCTTCTGAGTGACTTAGTGAGTCCGGAGAACACGTTATTTGAGGTGGTAAACTCATTGTCTTTCATCAAACACCATGCCTGGCTGTACGGAGGGTCATTAACGAAGCGGTTGATCCCAGCTCTCAAACCGACATAGGTACTAATAGCGTAGCTACTGCTGGCCCTTAGTGTTTCTAACACTTCCATAAAACTGGCGAAGTAAGCTGTTTAGCTCCGGTTTGGACACTGTTCCGAAATCCACCATTTTCTCCTGGGTTTTTAAGAACGCTTTGAGACATTTGACAGCCCAGGTAGTTGACGCCAATGTACTCTTTTCGTTGCGACTTTTTTCCAACGCACTCAACTCGTCAGTTGAAACAGCTGCACATCTTTTGTTGGTTTTGTGGTCTGTGTCCATGTCCAACCATTCATCAATACTGAGGCCCCCCAACAAATCAAAATTAACTTTAAAATCTGACATTTTGTAGCTACCGATTTCCAACGAGAGACAATGTATAACAGCGTAACGGCTGTGTGTCGCTAAACGTCGCTATGGAAACCACACGATGTAGGCTCATGGAAGTAGTTTCGGTAGGCTAGTCAGTGGCGTGTGTAGGCCACTGGATACTTTGTGATTAGGCACGTTCTATTTGATCGTTGTTTGATCGTGGAATCAAACACGCCTATTGACCAATCAGAGAGCTTGCTCAAACCTATGTGTTATAGAATTAGCATTAAGGCACATTGATCTTATATGGCTGTCGGGTTTTGGTCCTTCCGTTCTATTGCGGCAGTAATCTTAAACAAAGTGCCGCGAGGGACTAAACAAGAGAAAAAACACTGTGGACGCGCAAAAACTCAGTCTTTCCAACACAGTAGGCGTTTGACCTTTTATTTCCAAAGCAAACATGCAATATTCCATATCCATATACGTATATCCTTGTATGCGTGCATGCGTGCGGTCAACAAAAATTGTCCTTCTCTAGCTCACTCCCCCATCTATTACAAAGTGCGCAGGTAAAAGCAACCGGATATAAGCACAAACGTCACCACACAAATCCAATGACACGCCCACCACCTATAGTGACTCAAAAAACATGTATCGTAACAAACACAGAAATGGCTTCATATGTGGCTCCTACACGTTCAGCTGGCTCTTCAGAACCTTTCCTACTCTGTGTAGGTACTTGGCTGTGGCTGCCTTTCCTCTGGCCTCGTAATGGTGTCCATTTCTCTGCGGGATCCCAAGGTTTTTGTTACAGTCCTGTACTTCCGCCATGTAGCCTTCTGGTAAATCCATCCCTTCAGTTGTGGTCATCGTGCATCTCTTTGCTACCATCCGACCACACGTATCTACACCATTTGACGTTCCAATGCCTTATGACATGAGGTTCAGCCCTATGCAGAACAGCATTAGGGACAGAGCATCTCTTTGGTATGTGGCCCATAAACTGCTAGCTGGTGTTTGGCTGTCCTGGTGTCTTTGCCAATTCCCTTCTGGTCCCGGCTCCTTTACTGAGCCATGTGTATCCTCATCTTAACTGCAATGATGCCTGACAGGAGCTTCCATGTTGTGCAGAGGCACACTATTGGCTGGTAGTCGGAAGGAATTGCTCCCCTCTGGGGTCTTGATCAGGACGGTCCGGCCTTGGGTGAACCACTCTGGGTGGGTCCCATCTCTCAGCAGCTGGTTCAGTGGTGCTGCCCAGCGTCCAGCGAGTGCAGTCATCCTCTTTCATGGTTCATATCAGGCCCTGGTGCCGTCTGGCTCTTTATGTGTGACACTTGCTCTTGGACCCACCAGCCACTGTTGGCACA